AACTATCAATATCACAATCGATATCACAATCAACGTCATCATCATCATCAACATCATCGTCATCAGCGTCATCAACATCAACATCACGATCATCATCACCATCATCATCATCATCGGGACACCATCATCATCACCTCATCACCATCATTAGCAACCTCATCCTCATCACCATCATCATCATCGGGGCACCATCATCGTCACCATCATGATAATCAACATCATCATCATTGTGTCACCATCATCATCATTATCGGAACACCGCCGTCATCATCATCATCATCATCTCATCATCATGAACAACAGCATCAAACTCATCATCATCATCATCATCATCATCATCATCGGGACACCATCATCATCAGCAACATCATCATCAACATCATCATCATCATGGGGACACCCTCATAATCGTCACCATCATCATCACCATCATCACCATCATCGGGGCATCATCATCATCACCAGCACCATCACCATCATCATCACCATCATCGGGCCGCCATCATCAAAATCACCGTCATCACTTCATCAGCATCCTCATCATCAACATCATCATCATCGGGACACCATCATCGTCCTCCTCCTCCTCATCATCATCATTGGAACACCATCAGCATCCTGACCATCATCATCATCATCAACATCATCGACGTCATCATCGTCATCATCATCGTCTTCATTGTCACAATCATTTTATCATCTTCTCATCAGCATCAACATCATCAGGATCATCTACATCATCATTATCATTATCATCGGGACACCATCATCATCAGCATCACCATCATCATCAACATCATCATCATCATCGGGACACCATCATCATCACCACCATCACCATCATCATCATCATCATCATCATCCACAGCGTCAACATCATCATTCTCATCATCATCGGGACACCATCATCATCACCACCATCACGATCATCATCGTCATCATCATCAACATCATCGACATCATCATCATTATCATCATCATCATCATCATCATCATCATCATCATCGGGACACCAACGGGACACCGGCGGGACACCGGCGGGACACCGCGGGCCACTGGCCCCCGGAAAGGAATTATTTGGTCCGGCCGCGCCTCAGCCGGAGGCGGGACACCAGCGGGACACCGCAGGCCACCGGCCCCGGAAAGGAATCATTTGGTCCAGCCGCGCCTCAGCCGGAGGAGACTTTCTTCTCGCCCGCACACGCAGCTTCGCCTCGCCCGCACGCACGGCACGCACGAACACGAAACCGAAACCGATTTCCCGGTAGGGGGGTTCTCAGTTCCACTTCGATCTCACCCCTTCACCTCCGATACAGCATCTCGCACGCGTAGTCGCGATACAAATGACCGTGATCGTCGCGATGATTATGATAATGATGATGATTATGATGGTGGTGAGAATGGTGATGCTGCTGATGTTGATAACGATGATGATGATGATGATGTTTGTGATGACGATGATGATTATGATTCTGATGATGCTGATACTGCTGATGATTGTGCTGATGATGATGCGGATGACAACAATCAAATCGATCATGCTGCTGATACTGCTGATGCGGATGATGATGATCATGATGATGCTGATGCTATGAAGGTGTTTTGGATAATGATGACGACGACGATGCTGGTGATGATAGTGATGCTGATGATGATGGTGCTGATGCGGATGATGATGCTGATTCTGATAATGATGATGGCGATGGTGATGATGCTGATGATGATGCTTCTGATGATGCTGATGATGTTGCTGATGACGATGATGATGATGATGATGGTGATGATGATGCTGACGATGATGATGCTGATGATGATTATGATGCTGTTGATGATGATGACGATGATGCTGACGATGACGCTCATGATACGGATGATGAATATGATGATGTTTCTGATGATGATGCTGATGCTGATCATGCTGATGCTGATTATGCTGATGATGAGATGGTGATGCTGATGATCGTGTTGATGGTGATGATGATGACGATGACTACGGGCATAGTAATTCTGATGATGATGGTGTTGATGTGGATGATGACGCTGATGTTGATGCTGCTGCGGATGATGATGATGATGATGATGCTGATTCTGATGATGATGATGATGGTGATGACGATGATGATGGTGCTGGTGATGGTGATGACTATGCTGCTGATGGTGATGATGCTGATCATGTGGATGATGCTGCTGCTGATGATGTTGCTGCTGCTGATGATGGTGATGATGATATATATTGTGATGCTGATGATGACGATGTTTATGATGATAATGATGTCGATGATGATAATGTCGTGGTGCTGACGATCATCAGTATCATCACCAGCAGCATCATCATCATCAGCATAACCATCATCATCATCATTAGAAGCATCATCGTCATCATCATCACCATCATCATATATCATCATCATCGTCAGCGTCATCCATCATGCTCATACTCGTCATCACCAACATCAGCAGCGCCAGGAACATATAATCATCATCATCAGCATCAGCGTCGACAACACCATCATCATCACCATCATCATTATCAGCATTATCGGCAGCAGCAGCATCAGCATCATCATCACCCGCCGCATCCTCGCTCACGCCATCCCCATCCTCCTCCTCCTCCTCATCCGCATCATCATCAACAGCAGCAACATCACCAGCAGCAATATCAGCCAGCGTTGACTCCAAATAGATCAGACGACTCAAATCGAGAAGTCAGGGGAATCAAGTACGCTTGACATCGCCTTCTCAGCAAGCAAGCAAGCAAGCAAGCAAGCAAGCGTGCAAGCGCGCAAGAAAGCGTGCAAGCAAGCAAGCGCGCGAGCAAGGAGGCAAGCACGCAAGCGAGCAAGCATTGGAAACATAGGCACACGCATAGGCATAGGCATAGGCATAGGCATAGGCATAGGCATAGGAGCGCTCAGAGGTGTATGCGTAGGCATAGGCGTCGGCATAGGAGTTAGAGGGGAGGCGTAGGCATAGGCATAGGCATAGCCATCGGAGTTATGGGAGGGGGCATAGGAATTGGGGGGGGGCAATGGACCAAATAGTAATGTTTGAGTTCGAACCCCTATAGGGCAAGCCTAATTGGAGAATAGCATCAATAGCATCATCATCATCATCATCATCATCATCATCATCATCATACTCAGCATCACCAATGGCAGCAGCATTACAAACAGCACCCGCAGTATTATCATTGTCATCCCCACCACCAGCACCACCATCATCAGCACCATGGACACCATCATAGTCATCATTGTCATCATCATCACCAACATCACCATCATCATCATCATCATCATCATCGCCATCACCACCACAACCACCGTCATCATCATCATCATCATCACCAACATGATGATCATCATCAACATCATCATCATCACCATCATCATTCTCATACTCGTCAGCACCACCATCATCATCATCATCATCATCATCATCATCATCATCATCATCATCACCATCATCATTGTCATTACCATTTCAGGGGCAAGTGTACCTGGCGCTGATCTTCATTGGATGGCGCGATCCTCCCGCTGCAGCTCCTCCTCCTCCTTCTCTTCCTCCTCCTCCTCCCCTTCCTCATTCTGCCCCTCCTCTTCCTCCTCTTTCTCCTCCTAAGGCGCCGCCGCATCGATTCCTGGACCTGTCCTGGGCGCGTGCTGACAAGGTTTTCGAGGCTAGTCCAACTACGGCCACAATGGCCTTCGGGGAGAAGAATAATGATAAGACCAATCATAACAGTTATAATAATGAGCATAATAATAATCAGAAGAAGAAGGGCAAACATAAAATACGACGAAGAAGATTAATGATAAGAAGAAGTCGAATGTCGTCCAAATCTTCCTCCCGTACTCGCTCTCCGTCTTCCTCCTTGGTCTTCTTATCTTTCTCCTCAATCGCTTGGCTTTCGGGCGATGCCTCGGGCCTCAGGCCGCGGTTCGCGATGATTCTGGGTTTCCCAGAATTATCCTCTCGACGAGGCGCAGCTGATGGAAGACACCTCAGGGCCCGAACACTTGCAGGGGTAGCTTGGAAATCTCTCAAATTTGTGTCTGCACCACAGCTTTCTACTCCTACGGCGCCGCCGCATCGACCTTTCCATTTTCTCTGAAAACCAGACCCCCGACCCGTGTCAGACACCATCATGTCAAGCTTTGCGAGCAATGTCCAGCCGTGGTCACCAGAGTCCTCCTACCTCCCCGCCCAAGCCCCCCAAAGTGGCCCAACTGGGAAAACCGCTTCTCTCCTTGGCAAGATTGTCGGGAGCATGGCGCGCTTCATCGTCTCTTACATTGTGCGTCAACGCAAGGCCCCTTCCGATCTAATCGATCCGATTCGATATCGATTTCGGCCAGCCCGATCCGATTCCATACCGATACTCCGCCGCCCCGATGCGGCCCGGTGACTGCGTGGGGCTGCTGTGCGCACGGGCGCCGCGGATGTCCGACTCGATCCCTGCTCCGTGCCGATGGCGGCCCGCTCCGACGCACGCTCCGATCCGGCCTCGCGCCTCCGACTCGGCACGGGCTGCTCCTCGTAGCCCCGCGCGGGAAGGCCGCCTCGCGGGCTCCGCGGCGCGGCACCGACGGCCCGCACAGGCCGCTGCCAGCGGTGGCCATCGGGCGGCCCTCGGGGGGCCCTCTCGGCGGCCCTCGGAGGGCCGTCGGGCCGTCGGGAGGCCCTCGGGTGGCCATCGGGGTGCCCACGGGCGCGGTGGCCCTCGGGGTGCCGTCGGGCGCAGGCGGCTTTCGGGCGGCCATGCCGCGGCCATCGGGGTGGCCAGCGGGCGGCCATCGGGCGGCCAGCCGGCGGCCTTCGGCTCCCCCGTCGTCAGGCTCCCGGAGACCAGGACACAGATAAAGCAGGACACGGAAAACCAAGCAGGACACAGATGAGCAGATTTCGAGGGATGTTGGGTGTCCCGGTTTAGCTTGTCTGGGTCTACGGGTCCCTGACATCGTCGGACTGCTCATCGCCCGAGGCGCCGTCACATCGACCCCATGCTCACGGGCCGCGTCTCGCGCGAGGTGTTCGTCCAGTGCTGCCGCCGCGCAGGCGTGGGGGCCTTCGCGGCAGAGGCCTACAAGGCGTGCGGCAGGGCGTCGTCGTCGTCGTCGTCGTCGTAATTTGAACGCGCTCGTCGTGCTCGTCGTGCTCGTCGTCGTCGTCGTCGTCGTCGTCGTCGTTATCCCCCTTCCTTTCTCCGTCGGAGCCGCGGTCAGGCGTGGCAGCGCGCGGGGCGCACGGCAGGGAGGAAGAGGGTGAGGTCGGTGGGCAACGGAGTGAGCCGAGGCGTGTCACGAACGCAAAGGGCAGCACCCACAAAGCGATGCCTGATCAAAGTGCGGAAGTTTTCCTTGAGGCTCCAGGCTTTGCGCGCGGGGGCAAGTGATGGCAGTCTTTCTCGCCTCACGAAGACACGTTCCGGTCCCAAGTCTCGTCCCCACGAGTCTTGGCAATATTTTTTCGCAAAATGCAAAAGGCCCGCTTGAATTACGAGCGCTCCATCAGAAAGCAAATTAAGACGATCCCTTGTTTGGAAAGGACCAGACCAGCAGCATATTCTGGTCTAAGAATCAATGGTAGTCTTCAGCGAGAGCCCCGTTTTGAAACGGAACTACCCTCCATGCATATAGCTGTATAGAGACAAGTTAGCGCGGCGTAGTGGCAACACATACCATTCGAACATTTTTCGTCCTTACCGTGTATCTGTTCGAAGTTTTTAAATGAGTGTACGCGGAGCCAATTCGATAGCCTCTTCTTGAAAGCGATTTGCTTTCCGCCCGAGGACCTGTTGAACATTTCAAGTATCATGGTACTAAGCAGTTAGGATTTGTCAGGCAACACGCTGGGCCATTCCTACCAACAAGGTCGGTGGTGCGACGAAAGTAGTTCATAATGGAAGTGAGGTGCAGGACACGGCATTTCCCCTCAGTCTTCCGACGCAGTGTTTTTCGCGATTTAGGCCCCCCGAACTCTTGATCCCGTTTCTTGGACCGGTTCTGCACCCTGGGCCGTCGTTTGCTTGTCCCTGGGCCGAGAACGTGGACACCTGGTCGTGACGTCTCCTCGCCAAAGGATCGAGGGAAGAGACACGATGATCACGACCAAGATGCCGCGGAATCTCGTCGACGCCGATTTTGATCATGGTGCCGGCCGTCGCCGATGCGCGAGGGTGGTCCACGCACTGAGGCTGGCGGTGACCAACACAGACACCGACCTTTCAGCGCTCAGGCTTGGCCACGGCCCTCGTTCTCTCTCCTTCCAGTGCAATCGACCCGCCTAGTAAGGATGATCGACTTCCCCGAGTGTGCCCTTTCATCCTTGCCTCTTCTGTAATCTTCGGTCCATCCTCAACCACTTGCGATGGCCAGCCCCGCCCGAAGATCCTCGGCGTTGCTCCCAATGCCCTGACATCCTCACCGCGCATCCTCATGATACGGGTTGACCGCAGGAGGTCGAGGGCCCTTCCCTGCACTCCTCTCCTCCCTCCTCCGCTCCTCCCCCCCTCGAGGAGCTGGTCGCCGACGGCGGCAAGCTCAGCTTCTTCCCTTCCCTTCTCCTCCTCCTCCTCCTCCTCCTCCTCAGCTTCTCCTCCCCTCCCCTCCTCGCCTCCTCCTCCTCCTCCTCCTCAGCTTCTCCTTCTCAGCTCCACCTCCTCCTCCTCAGCTTCTCTTTCTCAGCTCCACCTGCTCCTCCTCAGCTTCTCCTCCCCCTCCTCCTCAGCTCCTCCTCCTCCTCCTCCTCCTCCTCCCCTCGTCCTTCTCCTCCTCAGCTTCTCCTTCTCAGCTCCCCTTCTCCTCTCAGCTTCTCCTCCTCCTCCTCCTCCTCCTCCTCCTCCTCCTCCTCCTCCTCCTCCTCCTCCTCCTCCCCCCCCGAGGAGCTGGTCGCCGACGGCGGCAAGCTCAGCTTCTCGCAGCTGGCGCCCGAGGAGGCCGGGAACCTGCGGGGCTTCGTGGAGGCCCGCCGAGCCGCCCAGCCCGCCTAGCACCGCCGCCGTCGTCGTCGTCGTTGTCGTCGTCGTCGTCGTCGTCGTCGTCGTCGCCGTCGCCGTCGTCGTCGTCGTCGTCGTCGTCGTCGTCGTCGTCGTCGTCGTCGTCGTCGTCCTCGTCGTCGTCCTCGTCGTCGTCGTCGCCGCCGCCGCCGCCGCCACCGCCGCCGTCAAGGAGAGATGGAGGGGGAGAGGAAAGGAGACACGGAGAGGGGGAGGGGGGCAAGCTTGGAGCGCTCGCGCCTCATCTGTCATCTAATCCCCCTCTCCCATCCCTTCCCAATGGCGCTGAGTTTTACAGTGCGCCGCTGACGAGCAGTCTCCAAGGGCAACAAGTTGCCTGGGACTGGAGGCCAGGGTAGACAATGTACATGTCAGGCCACGTACTGAGCTTCCTGGTCGGCGGCAGACCTTTACACAGCCGCTGCAGGACCACGAGGCGAGCCTGGGTGAGGGCGTGAGGACCGAACTCGTCCATTGGGCATCACTCCTTCAAAGAGACGGGCCTCGAGGTGGCCCAGGCCCCACACGCTCCGCAAAAATAAATCGAGGCCTTACGCTTGAGCACATGGGACTGGTGGACAGGCTTCCCTGCGATCCAGGACTCGACCCTAGACGGCATGGGGTCGAGCCCCAAAGATTTCCAGAGGGCGTCACACCGCTCGGGCAAGGGCCTGGCGGGCTGCACCCATTGGTGGTGCACGACGTGCTTCTCCTCCCCCCCCCGCTCACACGCAACACACACAGACACACTCCCTCTTTCCCCCTCGACAGAAGCAGGGCACAGGCTGCGCAACCTGGCGCGGATATAGGGGGCGCCGTCCCGAACCTCCACGGCACAGGATCCGCACCTCCACATCTGATCGGCGTACGTCCACCTGTGGGAGGCTGACAACACTGCCTCGGCGAGCCATCGCCGCCGACGCACAACAAGGTCGATGGGTTCCTTGATCCGTCGCCTGTCGGGGTCGGCACGAAGAGATACGCACTCGAGAATGATGGCAGCATGACGGGTCAAAATCTGGCAAGCCTGAAGCACAAGCGAATTGTGGTCACGGACAACGTCTGGAGGGACCAGAATCTCCGACGCACGATCATCAGCCAACTTGTCAGCCAGAGAATTCCAAATAACGTGGTCCCAATCAACAACATCCTTGAAACGCTCACGCTTCTTGGCGTCCTCGAGGAGGTGAGAAGGGATGTGGGACAGGCGAAAAGGGGCGGGACGAGAGTCGAGGAGCTCCCAGAGTTCCCACCACAGATCACCATTGGCCAACTTGGAGGTGTGCGAACGTCCACCTGCGAAGGCCTTGATTATATTAGCATGGTCAGAGGCCACGTGCAGATCTTGGGCTCTGCCGACGTACCGAACACACTCCACAATAGCCACAAGCTTTGCACGCGGCACAGTTTGCCGCTCAGAGTCGACGACACCAGTGACGGCACAATCCCAATCGAATTCTTCACCAGGGACCATGCGAACGAACGCGAAGGAGATCCTTCTTAAAACAGGACTCTTCCCTAGAGGGCCCCCAGAGCCGTCGGTTCCGTACAGGCCCCCAGGCAACGATCCAGGGGCGAGGGGCCCCGAGAGCCGCTTGCCACGGAGCAGCCGAGAAACGGGGGTCGGTGGAAGTCGGAACCAGGCCCTGGGAATAAGCCCCCTCATCCAGAAAAAAAGGAAAAACATGAGCCTCCTGGATGGCCGCATGCCTCAGATGCTGCGACTGAACTACATCAGGGCAAGCAGACCTGTCGTTACACATACATTGCCAGACTCGATGCACAGTGGACTCAGGGTCCCGCTTACAACGTCTACAAATAGGGTCAGGGGAAAGCTGGGCAAAGTGCCGTCTCTCTCCCCAGTCCAGTAACCTCCTGCAGCGACGAGCTTAACGATAGCTGCAACATCTCGACGGCCTTCCTTCTCAAGAGACGCAACAAGCTCCCAAACGTGGAACAACGAAACAGGACCCTCGATTCCTTTGCCGTCGAGATGTTCTGAGGCCTGCCGCCGCTGGCGCTCGTCGATCGATTCGTCGAAGGCTTCTAAAAGGGGCCCCAGGGGTCCTCGGCCCTCGGCCTGCAAATCCCACCGCTCACCAGAGGGAGAGACAAGCTCGAAGGGGGAAGGACAGGACCACCCGATGGCAATGATCGAGGCCTGGAAGGCTCCCAGGGGCCCTCGGACCCAGGCCCACCCCCGACGAACCTTGTCGAGCGATGCCTGCCAGTGACGGTTGAGACGGGCCAGCAACGATGAATTACCAGCTAGCCTAGAGAACCATGATTTGATAATCTTGCGATAATACATCTGCACAGGGTCATGACCTAATCCAAAAGTCAACCTAATAGCAGTGGTAGCGCACGCTCCTCGCTGTGGTGTCCTGCGGGCCGCTCTGGCCATGCTCCTGAGGCCCTGCGAAGTGTCGTGGCCCAAGCCCCCAGCGGCCAGAGAGACCTGAAAGGAACATTGGCGATCAGAAGCAAGCCCTGGGAGCCTGGCACGAAGCTCAGGCGAGGATGCAAGCAGGTGCGATTTATCGACAGCAATCTCGCAACGTCGCCGCTTGAGGCTAACAGGCAGGGCCCTGAGGAGCACTGGGAAAGTGGCGGCGATGCTAGTGTGAGTGCCACAAAGTCTGGCTGAGATATCGTCCACCCACTCACGCAGGCGCAGGCCAGCTACCGACTGATCAGCAACGCCTAGAGGCTCGTGGAGGTGAGCACGGGCTAACGAGGTCGCCTGGCCACAGCCCGCGAGCATACCTCCATGCGCCTTGAGGCCGGTGGGCGCCGCGCCTTCGATCGACAGATGGCGCACACCCAAATACATGTCTACTGCCAGGACCAGGGGCCTCAAGGGATGCCCGAGCGCGACAGCTGCGCCCACTAAATCCTCAAGGCAAACCTGGTCATAATACTTCCTCATGTCAAGTAGAAGGCCACCCACTAGGAAGCCAGAGTGCAGAGCAAGCTCGGTTTCCAGTTCGTCAATCCAGCCAGCAGCCTCGGCGGAGCCCCCCACCCTGGCGTCCCATGGACCGCGGGCTCTCTTGCCCCAACTAGAGATGAGGGCTTGCGATCCGAAGAAGCAAAACATAAACCAAGCCGAGAAGCGCGATCGGTCTTTACCCCCCATCGGGCTTCGGCAACAACGCGATCAAGGAAAACAACTGTTGAAGTGGCAACGTGCGTTGATCCTCGATGTAATGCAGAACGTCGATCAGGTGCAGCTTGGCATCGTCGCTAGCCTGCTTGAGTAGGCGCGGCTCCAAAACATCAATGCCTTGGCCCCTCTTGTCGGGAATGGTGGCCAGAGCGTGATTCAACATATCGAGCGAGATGGGCTCCAGCCGAGGAGATGATCGCGCCTCGACTCGGAGCGCAGACAGAGATGCTCTGGCACCGTCGTAACTATGTTGCTGCCGAATGCTGGCCCACGCTGCCGCCTCACATTCGAAAATAAAACTTGCGCCACGGTAGTGCGTGGTCCATCTCCGCCGATTTTCTCAGGAGGGAGGGGGTCAACAGGAGGCCTTAAGAGACGGTGGGCGGGACCCGCAGAGTGATGCAAGGCTTGCTTAAGCCACGTCTGCCATGCTACCGAGTGCTCCTTAAGAGCAGAGCGATGTGATTTATCTGCGACCAAGGTGGCCTCTGCAACATGCAAAAGCAGGTCCTTATGGGTCGCCGAACTAACTAACCTAAGCCTCTCGAGCCAGACCTCGAAGAGCTGAGTCTGCTCAGAGTCCGAAGGGTCCGACGGCTCAGGGGGCACCTGCTGGGAAATCCAAACCAGGGTCGCGCGGTGCTGGGCAGCGTGAGCAGGCTTGGGCTGAGGCGGAGCAGACGGGTCCGCGTCAGCGGGAGCAAGCCGAATTAACAACTTCAGCTGAACAAAGACAGACTGCCACCACCTCGCACTACGATCCGCAATGCATGGCCCTTCAACCTGATCTGCAATAAGAGGCACTTCTCTGAGCCTAGGCTGCTGGCAACGGCCAACATACTGGAACACCGACTCCTGCGAAAGGTCCAACTTGGAGAAAGCCTCGAGCTCGACGGCGAGGACCCAACTTGATAACTGCTGGCCAAGAGCGAGAGACACGTCTGCATTGTCATGCTCTAAGCGAAGCGCGGTGGCTTGGTAGTACATAGACCTGAAAAACGCTGGCCGCCTGCGCTGCAGCAGCTCAGCCTGCGCGAGGTGGTGGGGCCATGACATCGCAGGACCAGCCAGGTCCTTGACGGGAAGCGCCTTAGGCCTCATGGCCTTCCAGACGGTGATGCTACGAGGCGTGCTCACAACGCTGAAGCCCAAAGCGCAGTGAGTGCCCCACGGCGCAGGTACTAGTCCAGCGAAGCGGCAGGCGGCAGCAAACGGCGCAGAAACTAAAGCATAGTCGATGCGACTGGTGGTGACCGTGGTGCACGTAACCGAGACCCCAGGCATGGGGGCAGGGATGAGGCCGAGAGGCTCCAGCCAACCCGAGGCTTCGAGCTCCTCTTGTGGCACCGGCCAGTCGCCGACAATTAAAGCTGGAACACCAGCTGCAGACAAGTGCGCACCCAAGTCAGCGAGCAGCTTCAGGTTGTCGCCCCCAAGCTGCCCACCGGTGTGGAGGTGCACAGGCACGATGGTGAGCGAGACGTGCCGCAGCCGCAGGGTTGACAGCAGATAGCGTGAAATTCCGACGTCTGACCATTCACCAGCTGCATACGTCAAACCTGACAGTCCCAGGTGCGATCGAGCAATAACCATGACTCCGGAGGACGCATCGTCAGCATCAGTGCGATGAGCTTCTTGAGCAACAACCTTCCAGCCGAGTTTGTGCAATTTCTTGACCATCGCTTGGAACTTCACAGCACGCTGCCTGTGCTCCACGAAGAGAATGATATCTGCATTGGACTCTTGAACCCACCGAAGCGCGGTGGGACCCCGCGCTGAGATATTGGAGTACACGAGAGATAAAGGATTGGGCTCACTCGGCGGGTCTGGCGAGCCCTTGGGCGGTCGAAGCCGCCTCGTGGCCACCTGGCCGCAGGCTCCATCAGGAACTCGACTCCTCCTTGGCCTTGGCTGCCTTAGCCTGAGCCTTGGCCAGGAGGTCCTTCCTGAGAGCCTCAGCCTTGGCCTGCTTGTCGGACGCCACCTGCGCCGCTGGGGCCTGGGCCGAGCTGGCAGCCGCCGCGCCCGCCGCCGCCGCGGGGGGCCCTCCGCCGGCGGTTGGGGCTGGCCGCGCCGGGGGGGCGCCTCCTCCAGCCGCGGGCCCAGGGCCTGCTGGGGGAGTGGCGCAGCCACCCGCGTCGGCCTGCGCTGCTCCAGGCTCAGGTGGGGCCCCGCAGGCAGCTGGCGCTGCATCTCCATCAAGCTTGCGACGCTTGCGGAGCTCGCCCATGCGCTTGAGGTATTCAGTGTGATGAGCATTTGCTTGGTCTTTGACTTGTGTGAGTGCTGCGTGAAGAAGAGCGGCCACCTTGGAAGACTGCTGCTTCTGGAACGCCGCGAACTGGCTGCGGTCCTCATCCGAGAAGGCAGGGCCTGAGAGGTCGATCTGGTCACCGAAATCGAGCGTGAGCTCGTCAGCACTGTCCTTGAAGAGATTCGAGATATCGATGACGTTAGCGTTGGCCTCCTCCTTGAGAACACCTGCTGCCAGAGCTCTGGTAGCGTGTTCCAACTCCTTCTCCGCACGGATGTCATCTTCCATGAGCCGCTCGAGCGTGAGGTTGGACTCCGTGACCTGGCGATCCAACTCCACACGCTTCGCCATGGCACGCTCGAGCTTGTCCGCCACCGACTTGCGATGCTGCTGAGCAAGGTTCCAAGCCGCCTGGGTGGACCGAGGTGCCTTGGCGCCAGACTCCATGGGAACGAAGGGCGCCAGCAACTTCTGGGCCTGTGCCGAGGGTAGCGCGCCAGCGATCTCCCTGACCATTGTGAGGGTGTCGGGCGGTAGGCTGACGGCGGCCTGACCTTTCCTCCACCTCCCCTTGGCATGGGCAGGGGATGCATCGGTGTACCCGTCCTGGAGAGCTGGAGGCTGTCCTGCATGAGCACGAGGAGGGGCGCGTGCAGGGTCGCAGATGTCCTGGCACCCGACGCACAGCCACTTGCGTTTGGCCAGGAGCCCAATGGCGCTGAGGATTTTTCACCATCCGCGGGCGCGTGTCATAGCCGACATGCGACTCCCACAGGAAGACCGCTTCTTATTATGCACAGTCGGACAAAACGGAGTTGCGCACAGGAGCAGGTGGAACTGGAGGAGGAGGAAGAGGAGGAGGAAGAGGAGGAGGAGGAGGTGGAGGTGTCAAGACGCTGCGTAGCGAGAAACGGCAGAAACGGCAGGTGAAGGTGGCGGGTGAGGAGGTGTATAAGCGGGAGGAAAAGGATGCGGACGAACAGCAGCAGCAGCAGCAGCAGCAGCAGCAGCAGCAGCAGCAGCAGCAGCAGCAGCAGCAGCAGCAGCAGCAGCAGCAGCAGCAGCAGCAGCAGAAGGATGCGGACGAACAGCAACAGTAGCAGCAGCAGCAACAGCAGCAGCAGCAGCAGCAGCAGCAGCAGCAGGAACTACAGCAGAAGGAGCGGGAGGATAATGAGGGCCATGGGCCGGCAGAGGAGGGGACATGAGAGGGGCGACAACGATGAAAGACTCGGAATCAGAAAAGTGGCCCGCGCTGGGGCGAGACGAACAGCAGCAGCAGCAGCAGCAGCAGAAACTGGAGTGGTAGGAGCGGGAGGGACATGAGGACCAGGGGAAGGCGGAGAATGGGAAATGAGGGGGGGACCACAATGGAGCAAGACTCGAATCCAGAAAAGTGGCCCGTGAAGGGCGAGAGCGCCATTCGGAACGAAGGGAGCAAAGCGCCGATGCGAACATGAGGCCCACGCTGCGGCGGGAGCACCGTTCGGAAACACCGAAAACAATCGGATCGTAGAGCGCCAGACTAAAGAGAATATGCTTTCAAGTTCGGTGTTAAAAGCACACATCACGCGCAGGGGACAGAAGGTCTTCTGGACAACTTCAGGGGAGCAAGGAGAGTAGTATTCATGTTTCAGGGGAAGAAAAACCACCCGGACCGGACATTTGGCGTTTGCTGAACGGCCTTGGGCGTCTACTAGACAGCCCTGCCCTGTTCGCTTCCTTCTTTGGGCGGCGCGTTTACTAAACGACTTCGCGTGTCGGGGTGGTTATTACTTTTTTTTTTTTGACTTCTACTGTTGTTCAATTGTGCAATGCCCTGCGCCCCCTCCGCCCCTCCGCCCCTCCGCCCCTCCGCCCCTCCGCCCCTCCGCCCTGCCCTGCAGTGCCCCAGCCTGCCCTGCGCCCCCTCCGCCCCTTCGCACCTCTTGCCTCCGTGTCTCCCCCCTTCTCCTCCTCTCCCCCCCCCCGCTCCCTCTCCCTCTCCCTGCCGCTCCTCTCCGACGACAGCGAGCTGCACTGCCGCAGGATCGCCGGCGCCGAGAAGGCCGCTCCGTGCGCGCCCTGAGGCCCAACCCGAGCTCGTGCGGCGGCGTCGGGCCGTCGGTCGCCGCTCCACAGCCTGACGACGTGCCCCGGCTGCATCGTTCGCTTCCCCTCCCGCTTCTGCCGTCCAGCCGCCTCCACCCCTCCCAGTCCCGTCCTCCCTCCCATGACCCCTGCTCTCTCCGCTCCCCCGCCTTCCCTCGTCGCCCCTCGTGCGTATCCTCCCATCTCCCTCGACGATGTGGTCGTCGTCGTCCTCCTCCTCCTCCTCCTCCTCCTCCTCCTCTCTCCTCTCTCCTCTCTCCTCCTCCTCCTCCTCCTCCTCCTCCTCCTCCTCCTCCTCCTCCTCCTCCTCCTCCTCCTCCTCCTCCTCTCTCCCCTCCTCCTCCTCTCTCCTCCTCCTCCTCCTCCTCCTCCTCCTCCTTCTCCTCCTCCTCCTCCTCCTCCTTCTCCTTCTCCTCCTCTCCCTCCTCCTCCTCCTCCTCCTCCTCCTCCTCCTCCTTCTCCTCCTCCTCCTCCTCCTCCTCCTCCTCCTCCTCCTCCTCCTCCTCCTCCTCCTCCTCCTCCTCCTACCCCCTCCCCCTCCCCCTCCCCCTCCCCTCCTCCTCCTCCTCCTCCTCCTCCTCCTCCTCCTCCTCCTCCTCCTCCTCCTCCCTCCTCCTCCTCCTCCTCCTCCTCCTCCTCCTCCTCCTCCTCCTCCTCCTCCTCCTCTCTCAAGCTCCGTCAAACTCCTTCAAGCTGGGGAACGTGTGCCTCCAGATGAAACGCGACGCACAATAATAAAAAGGAAACCCGAAGCGAATTAGGTGGTGGTGAGGCGGAACGACCGTCCGACAACGCGGTTGGTGGACGGGTCTTTCCCCCCCTTGAGCAGCCTCAAGGTCCGTTCTTGTTGCAGGGTTCCCGTGGCAGGTCCGTCCTCCTCCTCCTCTTCCTCCTCTTCTTCCTCCTCCTCCTCTTCCTCCTCCTTCTCCTCCTCAGCCTCCTCCTCCTCCTCCTCGTCGTCCTCCTCCTCCTCCTCCTCCTCCTCCTCCTCCTCCTCCTCCCCGTTCTGACTACGATGTCGAGGCGAAACTGGCCGTGGCGACAAGGGCCACCCCAGGAGGCCCCCAGGGGGTGAAGAGCGCCTCCTCTGCCCTCTTCGTCCTTCTTTTTTCCTCTGACTGTTCCTCGTCCTCCCCCTCCGCGACGAAGACGACGTCACACCTCGTGCTCAGGCAGCCCTTCGGGACGAATTCGGCACCACCGCCAGGCTTTCGACGAAGCGCAGCTGATAGAAAACACCCCGGGGGCCTCATCCTCCGGGGGCCCACACATCCCCGGAAGCCTCATGGTTCGAGCGACGACGACGACGACGACGATGACCTCCTCGGCCGTGTGGAGGCCGCCGCCACCGCGGTCGGGTTCGACCTCGAGGAGGTCTGGGCCTACCTCGACGAGCACAGGCGGAACTGGATCACCCTGCAGGAGTTCCAGAGGCCCTTGACGGGGGGAGGGCGGAGAGGGAGGAGGATCCCACACGAGGATCTCACAGAAGTGTACCGTGCGCCTCCAGTGCAAGGCAGCCCACCTCTATCACAGGCGTCGTAACCAACCCCTGCGGCAGACGTGTCTCGCCCGCCATCGAAAGTTAAGAGCCGCGCTTCACGGCAAGTCCGGGAGCGAGAGCAACCCTCAGAGCCCTCGTTCCGGCGGAGCTCCTCCTCCTCCTCCTCCTCCTCCTCCTCCTCCTCCCTCCTCCTCCTCCCTCCTCCTCCCTCCTCCCTCGGTTCCGGAACATGCCTCGGACCCTAGCCTGCTCATGCACAGGTTCAGCCTCGTGCACTCCTTCGCTGTGCAAGGCCTCCAGCGCTGGCAGCGGCGGCCCTTCCCGCCGCGTGTAAGGTCCTCTCCCGACTCGGGACAAGTTTTCCCGTCCTCTGCGGCTCGGCACGTCTCAGGCCGCACGCACACGCCCGACGTCGGTCGTCGCGTAGAGGCCGCAACGCGTGCAAGAATGCCTTCGATACTTGGCCCAATAGCTCAGCGCATGAGACGGGTGTATCTCCGCGCCAAGACCGCCAGGGCACACCGTAGGGATCCCGCGAGGCTTGGTCGAGGCAGTCGGGGCGCCCTCTCGCACCACACCCCCACAGAGTTCGGCCACACACTTCGGATGCGCCACTCGCTTGCAAATGTCGGCGCTGCCGCTTGCACCTCATCTTCTGGAGGATGTGGGCACAGGCCGCCGTCAAGAGCTCGAGGCGGGATTGGGGGGACCTTCCTTCCTCCAGGTGGAGGGCTTCTCCGAAGGGCTTAGGCGACTCGTCCTCCTCCTCTCTCCTCCTCCTCCTCCTCCTCCTCCTCCTCCTCCTCCTCCTCCTCCTCCTCCTCCTCCTCCTCCTCCTCACTCTCCTTCTCCTCCTCCTCCTCCTCCTCGTCCTCCTCCTTCTCCCCCTCCTCGCCCTCCCCTCCTCGGGTCGCCTACGGCCTCAGGGGAAACCGTCCACCTCCAGGCTTCTCCTTCTCTTCCCTCTCCGCTCGCCTGCTGTCGGCCTCCGGCGGCAGCTCCGGCGCGCCGCGCGCGGGCGCGGACCCGACCTGCAGCGGCATCCCACGGATCAGTCCGATTCAGCTGCTCGGGCGCACGCCTCCTCTTCCTCTTCGCCTTCGTCTTCGTCCTCCTCCTCCTCCTCCTCCTCCTCCTCCGCCGCTCTCCCCGCCTCCAGGCCGGCCAACATGTTGCCCGCGGCAGGCAGGACATCACGGCGAGTGCGCAGGCGGTCGAGCTCGTCCTCGGCGTGTGGAAGGGATCCGCTCCAGAGTTGTAACTCCTCCCTCCCCGCGCGCGGCCCTGGCCTGGCGGGCTCGCTGCCAGAGGTCCTCCATTGGCCGCCCTGGACCGTCGGGCGCTTCTCCACGGCCACGCTCTAACGAGTGCCCCCCGTGGCCCGTGGCATCGTGCATGTCCCCCCAGCGGTGTTCTGCTGGGCCAGGCTCGGGGCCAGGAGGTTCGGCCCTCGGCACGCTTCGTCGATGCTTCCATTCAGAGGCACAGCTATCATCGCGCCTAGGTGAGATCCTTCTTCGCCCTCGCACGCAGTGGCCACTGCTGCTCCACGGCGTCACATGTTTGGGTCGTCTGAATACTTCTTGCCCGACCCGTTCCCAAACACAATCAACCGACCTGCCTCCCGATCAGTCAGAAAGGCTGCCCAGCGTCGCGCAAGTTATCCTCATCAGAGCTCTGGCAGGTCAGGGCCTGGGCAGGAACCCCTTGGAGCCACAAGGTCGATCGACTGTCATAGCACGCCATGGCTTGTGGAACCAGAACTGCCGAACGCTTAAACTCCGGATATTGCAAAGGCCTTACGGCTGGTGCCGCCGACCCGGAAGACGACGACGACGATGACGACGAAGACGAGGAGGACGACGAAGACGCGGATGAAGATCGGGAGGAGTAGGAGGACGCGAGGGACGCCGTGGCGCAGCAGGAGGAGGATGAGGAGGAGGAGGAGGAGGAGGAGGAGGAGGAGGGGAGGAGGAGGAGGAGGAGGAGGAGGAGGAGGAGGAGGGAGGGGAGGAGGAGGAGGAGGAGGAGCCGAACGCTGAAACTCTGGATCTTTTTGGTCGGCGTAGTTTCTGGGCAATGCCGTGTCCTGCCTGTGCAGCAGGGCCTCCGGCTTCCGGCGGCGGCGCGGGCAGAGCTCGTGCACCAGGCAGCCCCTCTGCCCGTGCGGCTGCACCTCGCCCGCTTGGGCCTGCGCTCGCCGCCGCCAAGCTTTCCCGCGAGCGTTCTGGGGCCACTGCCGCCGACGCGCCCCCTGCGCCGTACAGGTCGCCCCGGGGCGGCCGCGGGCCCACGTCGCCGGCCAGATTCGGCGGCGAGCGAGGGGGGATAGGAGGATGAGGAGGAGGCCTCCTCAGAACCTTCCGAGGATGCCTTCTCCTTCTCGCTTCCCCCCCCTCGCTCGCCGCCGACAGTCCCTCCCCACGGTGCTGCCCCGCCGCTGCTCTCCACAGCTGGGCCGTGAGCTCCAGCTGGAAGTCGTGCCGCTGCGCTTGGTGGTCACCGGAGCCGCCGCAGAGCTCGCTGTCCTGCTCCGCCGGCCGCCGCTCGGTGCAGGCGCCCTGCTGGCGCTCGGGGCGCCCCCGGAGGGTCGCTGTCTTCGGCTCCCAGCTCACGCCCATCAGCGCGGCCTGCAGGGCGCCGAGGGGGCTGCGGACCCGCGCCCAGCGCCTGCTGGGCCCCGCAGCGACGAGGGCCTGCCGCGCGCTGCTCTGGGCCCGCTGGATCCTTGCACGGAGCTCAGGCGCCGTCTCCCACAGCCTGAGCCCGGCGTCCACGAGCTCCGACTCGAGCCTGGACACCCGGGTCGCCGGCCAGCGCGGCCCCGAGGACCGCGGGCTAAGCATCTGCCTCCCGCCTTGCCCCCGCGGCCTTCGCTGTTCGCCTGCGCATCTCCAGCACTCTGGAAGGTGCCCAGCCCCTGGAGCTGGTGGGCGTAGGAGCCTTGTGGTCTGGTTCCCGTTGCCTACGGCCCGCGCGCCTCCGTCATCGGCGCCGCTGTCCTGCGCAGCCGTTGGCCGCAATCAGGCGCAGGCGTTGCTTCCGCACGCAGCGACGGCGCCCGGCGCAGCAGCGTCGCCGCCCGTGCCCACTGCATTTTTGCACCGCCTGCACGGGCAGCTTCTCGCACTTCATGATCTGCTCCAGCTGCGTGCCGAGCGCAACGTCCGAGCCGAGCAGCTTGGTCTTCCTGGAGACCGAGCTCGTCCACGAAGCCCTCCGCGAGAGTCTTCGCCACCGCGGGGAGGTCCTCCTTGACGGCCCTCTTGGAGTCCTCGCAGCGCGCCGTCGTGCCCTCCACGAACGCCTAGAGCCCTGCCGTCGAGTCCATCACGTGGGCTTCCCGGTGCACGTAGACCTTCGCCGAGCTGACTCCCCTGGCCGATCCAGCCACCGCCGGCCGCGTGGGGTGTATCATTCGAGTCGGAGATCGACTACATAATTGATTTACCCCGAGATGTACATGTTGGTCGAACCTTCCAACACATACGTGCGACGCTTGTAGATCTACGAACAGTCTACTTTTCTGTTTCAAATATTCGACGAGATCTGTAGTCGATCTCCTACTAGAGTCATCTTGCTGGCCCCAAGGTTCCGTTCTGGGGCACCCTCGGCGCCAGGAAGATCTGCACCGCCAGCTCCATCAACAGCACGAGGTTGATCGTGCCGTGGAAGGTCTGCAGTCCCATCAGCAGTGCCCCCGAGGCCGCAAGGAGTTCTCTTCGAACCTCGTCGAGCAACGCCCTAAATAGTGCGGCCCGCAGGGACGAGGAGCCATTGATGCCCCCGTCCCAGAAGGCTCCCAGCTCCTCCGTCCAGGTCCAGACGATGGCCCCTCTCGCCTTGCTCCAGGCCTTGGGCAGCAGTGGGATCACCCCGAGTACCCCATCTCCTCCAGCAGGTTTGGGCACTGCCGCCGCCATCACCGTCATGCACTGTCGTGGCCAGCATCCTTGGGCCTCGCAGTCGTTGATGATGTCCACCGTCTCCTGCCGCGCCTCCCGCGGCAGGCGCAGCGCGTCGTTCGCGCCCAGCACGTCGATGCCTGGCGCCTTGCGGCCCCCCGCCGTGGCAACGGCCCCGCTGAGACCCCCCCTCGGTGAGCGGCGGGGAGGTCCTCCTCGCGGGCCACCTCCAGCGCGCGCATGCGCTGGTCCTGGGTGGCCTGGGGTCACCCGCGCCTCCTGCCACAAGGTGTCCCACTTCTGCGCTTCGCCATCCATGATGAGGTCAGGCTGGCGGATGGTCCCCGCGCCCTCGGTCGGCTCCTGGAGCATTGGCTTCTCATTCGTCACGTGCTGATGGAGCCATCCTGCATGCTCCCGCCAGGCCATCCGCGCCCATTTCATGACCTGCTTCCGGGACTCTCCCACGGCTCTTGCTTGGCCGATGGTGGCCAGGGAGTCCGTCTCTTCAGGAAAGCATTAGCCTCTGGCTCCTGCTCATGCCCACGACGTCGTTCGCCCGCTCCTTGTGCTGCTGGATGTCGGGCCGTTCTTGTTCTCGGCGAAGAAGGCCAGAGTACCCTGGCTTTCCATATCGCTGAGCACGTTCATACTCTGCTGTGCCAGCCTGCCACGCTGGTGCTCACCTCGCTTGCCTCTCGCCAGGGTGCAGCATCTGTCCACGATGCTCTTGTTATGCGTCGGCGGTGTTCGCCGCGTGGGATAGACTTGGTGCCACAGCTGCCTCTGCTCGTCCTCTCCTTCTCCTCCTGCTTCTTGCCTTTCCGTTCGTTCTTCACCGTTCGGGTTGAGCTCCGTCCCTCTCTCTCTCTCTCTTTTTTGTTCTCTCTCTCTCTCTCTCGCTCTCTCTGTCTTCTGGCTGCCGCCGCCGTTGCCCCTCCTCGGTGGGGTGTCCAGAGAGGCGCCTGAACACGCTCAACTTCGAGGGCGACGTAGGGCTGCTCTGGACGGGCCTCACAGACAAGGACGTCCCCCGCCTCAACAAGCAGAACCTCATCGACACGCGGAGTCTCCTGCCGCAGGACTACGACGCCAGAGAGATCACGGCCTCCAGGGGAGGGCATGCGGTCCGAGCAGACAGGTCGGCGACTACACTGTGTCTGGTTGCGCCGGGGTGTGGCTTTCAATCGGCGCCGACGTTACGCCAAAGGTTCGACGAGCCGGAGGTTCGGTGAGCCCTCGTCGGTGCGCAGCGGGGATCTCTGTCGAGGTCCTCGCCCGCCCTCCCCCAGGCGCGGGTTGCAAACCACGCCTTTTGCAACCACATTCTTCAGAGTCGCCGAATAGGGCCGGAGGATCGCGCCGCATCGCCGATGCATCCGCGATGCGGCTCGATGCGGAGCCCGATTTTCGCCACGCCGACGGCGGCGATGCATCGCTGGCCTCGCAGGTGCGTCCGCCGATGCAGCGGCTCTGTATCGGAGGCAGCGGCAGGGCAGATGGCCGAGGGGAGAGCTACACGCGAATCCCGGGAGGCGCCGACGGCCCACGTCTGCCGCGGGGCTCCCCGGCGAATGCGTGTGTAATGCCCGCCCCGAGGCTGCTCGCCCCTAGCGTCGTCGCCGACTGGTCATGGCGCCAACATCGCAGGGCGGATTCCGTTCGGAAAACGATAGGATGGGCCCGGAGTGTCGTGGAGCATCTCGTTCCGGATTTCGAAATGAGTTTCGCCCCGATTCTTGTTGGCCAGGAATGAAGACTAAACAAAATCCACGCGAAACTCATCTCGTTTTTCGCTCGCCGTTTCGGGGTGTGGCGTTGACAGAAATCCACGCCCAAAGATCCGCTGCAGCACGTCTGCAACGTCGGTGCAGTGAGACTGGGGAACGGAGGGGGGGGGCCGCTGGGGGCGATGCCACGTCGTGGCCCTTCGGCATGCTGGGGCCAGCTCCCCAGACCACCTCTGACGTCGTTGGCTGGGAGGTCAGAAGATGGCACCCCAAGTGTCGCGCGAGGCTGGCTGGCTGGGAACAGGCGATCCGTGATCCGACGGAAGTAGTTGTGTGCTCACGGGGTGGGGTGGGCCTCCACCAGAGGATGCAGGGTACGGGCCCGGCGAGCGACGGCAACGGTGGCGGCTGCGCCTCCTCGAAGTCGCCCCCCAGTCCCGGTTTCCTGATCCTGGAACTCGTTCTGATCAGGACTTCGGAGCAGACGCAGCCGAGGCGACGAGGCGGCCCCCATGGAGGCTCAGCGAGTTCCAAGAACGCCCGCAGACCTCGCTTCTCGATCCCATATCGTCGATCCTCACACGGCCCACTTCGATCCCATTCGATATCGATTTTGGCTGGCCCGATCCGATTCGTTTTCGACATTCCGACGGTCCGATGCGGCCCTTGCATGGCGTTTTCGTGCATGCTTGCGCGGCCGATTCGATTCGATTCCGGCTCGGTGCCGGCGCGGCCCGACCCGACGCACACTCCGTTGGGATCCTGAACGCCCAGGCGACGTCCTCGACGTCGACGACGACCAAAAGGACAGCTCCCCACCCTGTCCCCTATGGGGTGGTTCTCGTCCCGGATCCATCTGATGGCCCCCGGGGCCCGGTCGCGGGCCCCCAATGGCTGTGTGTGCAAAGTCAGAGCCTTAATTTAGTCATCAACCTCGCTCTTTTCTTGGCGTGATCAACCAGAGAACTCCCTTTCTCTCCGCTTCTGCTCCTCGGTGCGCCGCTCGCGCTCCCCTCCGGCTCTTATCCTTCGCCCCCCTTCTCTATCCTCGATGTAGCCGCTCCCTGATCCCATTGAAAGGGACGAAATATCAAGAACACGTGCCCGGACTGACAGCATCGGATCGTCCGAGCTCTGCGAGGGCGCCGATGCCGAGGCAGCGCCCCCGGTGTCGACGGCGGCACCGGCGGCGGCGCCGCCGAGGACGGCAGCTTGGCGGCGGACTGGGCGGGGTGCGTCGACCTGCAGTCGCCGATGGATCGCCGACGGGAGCTCGACGGCCCACCCCGCCCGGGAGCGTGCACACTCGCTGTCGGGGGCCGATCGCCGATGTGTCGGCGAGATCTACTGCCGAGGAGGGTCCACGTTTTTCCCCCCCCCGAGCTGGTCCCTGCCTAACGTTGCCCCTCCATCTCGATTCCTCCTCCCCCTCGCGGTACAGTGAACGCCCAGATCCACCAACGCAGCCCGGCGATGGGCGCGCACCGGGGAACGCGATTCAAGAGCAGCGCTGGAGCGCCCTGAGATCGTGGAGTTGCTGCAAGCTGGGAGAAGTCTTCCAACTCCTCCTCCTCCTCCTCCTCCTCCTCCTCCTCCTCCTCCTCCCATCGTCGATCCTCAGATGACGTCTCCGACGCCGACGGCGGCACGGTCGGCGACGCTGCCGGACGACGACCGCAGTGGCGGCACCAGGCCGGCCTCTCGGCCCTGGCGGGCGAGCTCTTCGGCGGCGCGGAGGGCTTCTGCAGTGCCCTCGGCCTCCAGAAGGGCACGGACACGATCAGCAGCGAGGACGCACAGGGGGGGGGGACGACAGGCTCGAGTTCGGAGGCTCGACGGTCTTCCAGTCGCGAGATGCGCTCCAGCAGCTCTCGGCCTCCTAGATGGGGTCGGAGCAGGTGGGATCGGAGGATCGCGCCGCATCGGCGATGCATCGCCGATGCGGCTCGATGTGGAGCCCGATTTTTGCCCCCGGCTTCCAGAAGGGCACGGACACGATCAGCAGCGAGGACGCATACGGGGGGACGACAGGCTCGAGTTTGGAGGTTCGAGGTTCTCGTTAAGTCGGGCGTGTCGCCCTCGTCGTTGTCGTCGTCGTCGTCGTCGCTATCGTCGTCGTCGTCGTCGTCATCGTCGTCGTCGGTATCGTCGTCGCTATCGTCGTCGTCGTCGTCGCTATAGTCGTCATCGTCGTCGTCGTCGTCGCGATCGTCGTCGTCGTCGTCGTCGTCGTCAATGTCGTCGTCGTCGTCGTCGTCGTCGTTGTCGCTATCGTCGTCGCTATCGTCGTCGTCGTCGTCGCTATCGTCGTCATCGTCGTCGTCGTCGTCGCTATCGTCGTTGTCGTCGTGGCTCTCGTCGTCGTCGACGTCGTCGTCGTCGTCGTCGTCGTC